CACAGCACTATATGTCCAGTGCAGAGAGGGGTGTAAGCCTTACACAGCACTATATGTCCAGTGCAGAGAGGGGTGTAAGCCTTACACAGCACTATATGTCCAGTGCAGAGAGGGGTGTAAGCCTTACACAGCACTATATGTCCAGTGCAGAGAGGGGTGTAAGCCTCGTAAGGGACATTTGCCACATGCCCAAGATGTTCCGCCTTCTGCCGTTTGCTTCCTGGCGTCGTCTAGCACTGCGTGAGCTGCTGGAAGAAGGAGGGGTAGCTTATAGTACTAAAACTACAGCTGACATTTGCAAATCTTACCTGTACACAGAAATGTCAGTCAAGGCTAAGGAATGCTAGAAATGACTAGTTGGATAGTAAAGTTTTTCTTTTGATCCTCTTTCTTACACGTTTTGTAAAACATGTCATAACTGAAACATTATTTAACATCTTATTTAACACAACTGATGCCTGGCTGCATTTACTGTTGCTGTACAGTGCTGTGTAATGACCACTCTTGTGGTTAAAAGGGTACCTCAGGAAAAGTGATGGAGCAAACTGTTAGTCCGACAGAAAACACGGAAGCAGCGTGGTGAAGAGCGACAGACTCGTGCCTACAGACTTACCCGGTCCCTCGACCCGCTGAGCCCTAGCAGACAGACCCCCCCCATTCTGACGGGACAGACCCGGGGGACACAAAGGCATGTTTTTATTTATTGGTCGTATTACAGTGTCTAAATATCTAAATCTGGTCTACATCTGCTTTTTTAACAAGTGGACCTCAAAATGTCCCTGGGGATTCTTGACAATGGCAACTTTACGTATGCAGCCAAAAATTACTGAAGTAGTACAAAACACAAATTGGCACAAATATGAGATTTTTCTTTAAGTACCGGTAACACTATTACAGTAATTCCCCTGACAGCCATAGAAATCAGCACTGATTAGGTATCTGAAACAGTTCTGTGAGGCAGGCAGTTTCACTCTTGTCCAGTGAGATCCTTGCTGTGGGAGACTCTAAAGGACTGGTGTCTGCCACAGCAGTGAAGGCTGTACAGGGCGCAGGTGACCTTTCACCTCAGGAATAACCCTCCTGGGGATATTCCTGGTATTTACCCAGACCTGAAATGTTAATGACATCCAGAAAGGTGATCCCAGCCCTCAGGCAGCTCTGCGGCTCAGACCTGCCAGCTGTCATTAAGTAAGAGATTAACTCTCACTCACTAACACCAGAAAGTGACAGAGCTGTTTGTTTCATGGTCGTCTGACGTCAGGGTGGTAAAAAAAAAAAACACCCAAGAATGTTAAACAAATAAACATAAAAGCAACAAGCTGTCAGAGTCAAGAAAGAGAAAAAGGAACTGAAAGTGTCTGCAGTCAAAGAAGGGCAGCCGGAATCATCATCGGCAGCCTGTGCAGGACAAGCAGCTATAGAGGATGGATGGATGGATGGATGGATGGATGGATGGATGGATGGATGCACAATGAATCATTTCCTTGCAATTTACCAGTTTACTTTACCACTTTATTCAGGTTTTAATTAAAGGTGCTATGAAAAAGAACAAGTTTTCTTAATGGAAAACATTATTGCTGCCTGTTAGGGTTAACAAACCAGTACCCATATCACAACCCTAATTACTAATTACTAATTATTAATTACTAATTACTATTTGAAACAGAACAAAGCATCCAGGCCTCAGGTAACTCTGCTCTTTCTAGCACATCCGAAATGGCTGTTGTGTGGCTGCATTGTCTGCTGTGCTGCTTTGGAGTCTGTGTGCTTGTTCCCTGCCTGACAGTCTGGGTCGCCTTTGCATTCAGTCACGCAGGAAATAAACGTCCAAAACCCAGGAAAGAGAATCTTCAGTCCAGCTGACAATGATTGTTGGTTAGCTTTTAGCCTTTAGCAAAGAGCTTATGCTCAGTCACTGCAAACCCCCCCCCATGTGACCATGTGACAGATATAAACAGGGAGGTATTAGCAGAACCCCCCCCCCCCCCCCCAATCTTAGGAGGCATTTTCCCATTGCCTCACTAGTGTTTCCCTTTCCTCATTCATCGTTAGGCATTAGCCCAGCAGAGAATATGCCAAATGTGTTTGCCGTCCTGTATCACAATGCCACTCAGCCATTGTGCCTTAAATGGCTGAAGGTATTCCTGTATTCTGAAGGTATTCCTGTATTCTGAAGGTATTCCTGTATTCTGAAGGTATTCCTGTATTGGTTTGATTACTGTCTGCATGCTTATTGCATATATTTTTGCTTAATATTACTGCATGCCTGTTATTATTGTCATAAACTTTACATTTTCATTATTTGCAAAAGAAGGGAACATTTCATTTGAGGTGAATCAGTTAAATTAATATGAATGCATTTTTGAGAACAATCGTATAAACTAATCACTTTAGTTAAACAAGCTCTTCATGTTACTAAACATAATAATCTCTTTGTTCGGTATTTTGTGACTGAAGCGGTTAAACAGAATAATAGCTATGGTTGTCCTCCAAAAAAAACAGTGATTTGGCAAGAATTTTGACAGGCATGTACCTTTCATTACATTTTGTTTGCCATACAATATTGAGCTAACGGCTCAGCACAGAGATTGTTGAACAGTGAAATATATGCTGATCACTTTACCTGTCATCTACATTTCTTTCACCAACCCTTTTCTTCATATTTCTGAACTTCTTAATGGATATCAAAAATCAAATATCAGTCTTTATGATGATGGACAGGCCACTCTCGTCCATAAACAACATCCACATTGGTCAGCTTTTCAGAACGTTTCAAGTAATCAAACTGTCTGCATTAAGATCAGTTGTCTTTGAAATTCCGGAACAATATAATCTGAAACATGTGTCATGGCGAAACAAGTATTTTTTTTATTGCTGGTGGGTCCAGACACATGCTTTAAATACTCTCTAAATACTCACCAGAGAATCTTTTTAGAAGATGTTATGGAATGTGGAACCTAAAAATATTTCAAACTTAAAGGATCAGTGTTGCTCCTTGAGGTTGAAAGTGGAACAGGAACAGTAAATCAGCCGATTCCCTCTTTGCTTGGAGATGTTTGACACCATCCCATGAAACAACATGGATTTATTGAAATTTAAATTTAAATGCCAGAGAAGCTCACCACTGACTGTTTGATGCATGTTTTTGAGATGCTAATGAGACAGGTTGAGTCTTGGTTGCCAGATATTAAATTTGCAGTGTTTAATGCCTGGGTAGAATTTGTACCTGAAAATTTAAAAGCATCTTTTGGAGACATACCAGTGCACAGAAGGACTGTGTCTGTTATGTAGGTCTTGAACTTAACTGTGCTCCTTTAGACATTTAGTCCAATTGCATGAAGAATGTGTACAATGGGATAGTGAGCATAACAGAAACAATACATCTTTAAAGTTACCACACATCTTCAAACAATTAATGCAATTTTATGTATCAAACAAGTGACATGTTTAATGATGATTTTGCCTACATTTTTCCTGAAGGTAACCCACTTCGGAATCTGAATAGAAATGACACATCTCACTTTTTTATGAAGCTGAAGTGGATGTTTAACATCTGCACCAAATAGTGGTCAGACCTCGCACTGAAACCTCAGGGAGAGGATAAACTGGTTGAAATAAATCTTCCCCTGGAATGAGGGATCAAGTGAAGACAATACTACTGATATATTTTTCATCTGTGTGTCGGCTGAATGCCAAAAGAGTACTTCTCATAGTATCATTTTGGCTTTCACTGGTTTCATGCACTCCCTGGAACAAAAAACAAAACAAAACAAAACAAAACAAAACAAAACAAAAGCACATGTCAAAATAACCAAGTATGAAATTGCATGGGACAAGCAAAACAACACGTGTAACAGTTCAAGTCTTTGTAGTTTGCAGACCAGCTTTGGAATGTCTTCCAGTAATGCAAAGAAATAGCATGGGTGAGAATACTTATGGTAATATATATGGGATTAAACACCAGTTTATCATGAAGTATGTCTTGCCAAGCAGATGACTAATACTTTTGCAATAACTCATAACTGATGGTTTGATTACATGTGTGTCTAACTGTTTAAAACTTCATCTTTTTTGCAGAGTTTCAATGCTCCTTCTCAGTTTAAGATGAAGTTATGGACGTGTGCCACCGCCACTTTGATCTTCTGTGCCGCAGCACTCTTCCTCTTCCTCACTAGAGCCTGGCTCCATCTCGAGCTGCGGCCTCCACGGTCTGTCACTTTGGGCCCGTCGTCACCACAGTCATCGTCATCTTCATCCTCGGGTTCCTCGCCCCCCATGATGGACAAACATAGTCGCACGAGGAGAAGTACAGACACCTTCAGTTCACTCCTCAAGGAATGTAAGAGAAAATATAGTCATGTATCTTTACACCTTAACTCTCATGGTACTTATGACCCTTTTGATGTAAGATAAGCCATTGGATTAAGGATGGATGGATGGCTCACAATATGTACGAGGTTCTGTTTTACCCGCACTATTACATTTACTTCAGTACTTTTGAGATTTACTGGGAAAAACCAACTGAAGGATATTTGTCTGCAACTGAGTCTGAAAAACTCCAAGAGCACTCCATAAAAATGTAACTCAATAAGGAACACGTGCACAAGAATGCTGCTGATAATTACGACAATAAGCAGTGAAACCAGACAGGCAGGTCAGCCAGAAACTGATAGTTGAATGTCGTAATCACAGTCACATTCAGCGCTATAATAAGTGATTTATCAGCTCTGACCAGCTGACCATTCTGACCTGGCCCCACCCCCAGAACCCACTGTACTCAGGTGTCACTCAAGCAAATTTACTGGGGTTCAACCAACACATCTTAAATATTTCATACATATGAGAATCATCTTATTTAGCAAAAGGCAGGCTAAGGGGTGGATTCCTATGTGGGGCTGGCTGCCCTCTATAGCAATCCCATATGTGAATCGGCCTTCATCTCAGAAAGTCACACATCCATGGAAGTATCATGGAAATTGAAAAACAAAAAAATGTTACATAGAGTGTCTTGGAAATGTTATTATCCTGGAAAATTCCCAGATCAAAGACGAATCACTAGTTGCTGCTTCTTCCTGAACGAAAATGATGAAATAATGTCGTATTCGCTAGCAGTGTGCAGAGCTTAAACTGCTGTTGTGCTGTGCGGATGTGGGCCGACAGGTTGTGATCTGATTGGCTCTTCAGTGAGCCTCTGTAGTCAGGTGACAGCTTTGGAGGGAAGCAAGTTCATTATCTCCTCGTTTGAGTCCATTGGTTACGTGTTTGTGTTTTGTATAAACACACACCCTGTACTTAGTAGTTATAAAAGCTGGACAGATGGATGGTTTTGTTTCAGCTTTGGATTGTTTTATTCCTATTCCTCTATATTACATTTACTGCACAGTTTTATATACCCAGGGAGTAAAGGCCTGACACAGCATATGCAGGGTCATTCCGTGCACATTTTGAGCATTTTGAGACTCGTTACCATTTAATTTCCTTGTGACTAATCACCAGCAGATCCACACACACTGAAAGGATTACAAAATCATGCAATTTTAGGCATCATGCCTGAAATCCAAGAAAAAGAATGTCCATTTATCACTTTAATGCAACTATTAATAGCCCATTCCTAGTCCAGCCAGACAAGAACATCTTCAATGTTCTTTGAAGGCAGAAACTTAATTTCAGATGGCAGTGTTTCAATTTCGTGTTTTCAGAGACAGTGTAAGGCCAACAGTGAGAAAAACACCTACTTGTTTGTTCACAGTAAAGCCATTATGCGTTCCTGCGTTTTTTGAGTGAAATGATTTTGTGAAATGAGTGAGAGCCATAGAACCGCCCTTTTCCTCAGGGCTACTGAAAAGGATCAGACCGTTTACACAGACTGTAGTGTGTAAAACAAAGCTGGTATACTGACAAGGACTCAACTACATGTCACTCGGAATGGCCTGTCTAGTCTGACTTGTTTGGTACATTATTAAATCAATTTTAAAAATGCAGCATAACATATGTATCCTACCTGTTGCCATGTGTTTTACAAAAGTTACTCTCAAAGGCCTCATAAAGCTGACCTTCCCTGAGAAGGACAAGATGCATCGATTGCTCAACATAATGTTCATAAATACACAAAGCACAGCTCAGGAAAATAAATATCTTAATTAATGAAACAGGTTGCAAGATCCTTTCTTTGTATTTTGTCACATGACACCTGTCAGGGTTAAACCAAGATGACATTTAGTAAACCAGGTCAGGGCCTAGATTAGCTGATCTTCAGTCAGGCAATCTTCCAGACTACTAGTAGACAGTGAAGTGAGCTTTGGAGAAAAACCTGTTTGATCTAGTATCAGGACTCTCTGAGTAGCACTGTCAGGCAAACAAGTCACACCTGAAATCAAACCAGATCTTTCTGTGTGATTTTTAGAAGCCATCTCTTATTAAAACGGTTGAATAGATATGCATTACACTGCTTCAAAATGACATTTGAACACTAAAGAATGTTTGCCTTTGGTGATTTTCAACAATGTCGACTTCCTCACCTATATCATATTAAAGGATTTCAGAGATACATGTTTAAGTGTCAGAAACAACAAACTTTCAGAAAGCACAACAAACAGATTATTTCTCAGCCTTAAAAACTCTCCCTTTCATTTCCTTTATAGGACCTGCTCGCTCACATTCAGCTACTACTCAAGGTTTACACCATATTCACCGAAATGTATTGTGTCAGTTACACGCCTTTGTCAAACAGGCTGGTTGGCATCGTATTAATATAAGTTTCAGCTGTTGTTTTTTTATTAGCATTGTAAAGTTATACAATACTAATTTTAATGGTGTATCAAGTAAACTTAGCAGGTTCCAACATCAGAAATAGTCACATTCCATAGAGAGTGTAACTAAAGATCCTTTTCCCATCATCCACTTCCTGAAGTTAATTTAGTCCTGCTGACATTATAAATCTTTATGTTGCTACAAGAAATATCCTGGCATTGTCTTGCATTAGGTGCCGACTATTGAAATGGTCAAGAGCTGTGAGTTTCCCAAGCAGAACGTCTGGTCGACATATAAGGATTGTCCAAGGGAACAGTTTATTTCCTTAATGGCAAATAAATCAAAATCTTGTGGCTGCTAAAAATAGTAGCAAAGATTCATGAAGTGGCATAGTGTTATTTTAAATGTCTAGCAATATTTAAATTAAATAAAACCATCCCTGAAATGCAAGTGAATTTGTGCAAAGCCATGGGAAACTGTTTGACTAGTATCATCAATTAATTTAAATTCCCTTAGGGAAGCGGCTCTGGCACCAAAAACAGCAGAAACCCGATTTGTCGATTTGCACCGACTGCTCTAAGCGCTTGTACTTTCCTCTCACTTTCTCAGTCATCCACCTGTTACAGAGCTTCACAGAAGGTGAGCTAAAACAAATAATTGGGACCTTCGTGGAGAGGAGGGCCAGGAGAGACCTTTTGGGACCTGGCAAGAACAGGAGGAGCAAACGGGCTAAAGGCAGAGTGAAAGGATGCTCGCTGAGGCACGTGGACGTCACCGTGAGCGACCTGGGTCTGGGCTACGTCAGCGACGAAACCCTGCGCTTCAAGTACTGCAGCGGAGGGTGTAGCGCACACAGACGCAACTACGACATCACGCTGAAGCACATAAAGAACGCAGGTCTTCTCAAGGCAGCGAACAGCGGCAAGGCCCGGTACAAACCCTGCTGCCGGCCCACGGATTACGACGATGACATTTCTTTCCTGGACAACAATAACAAATACCACACTATTCACAATGTGTCAGCCAGCCAGTGCAGCTGCGTGTAGAATTTTTTATATACGTCAAAAATGCGAGAAGTAAAAACCTGGTATACAAGTATTGCCTTTCATGGAATACCTTCCTACTAGTACTGTACACTGTTTTTACATAAAAATATTTGGCTGGCAGAATGAAGTTTACTGGACGTGAACTCATATGTATTTTTATTTTGGCTGAATGCTTAATTTGCAGCCTTTGGTTTGTCAGTTTGAAATCTACCTCAATGTCACCGAAAGCTCATAATCAAAACTTGCCTGTCAGTTTCAATAGCTTCTCAAAACAGGAATAAAGGTGTTATGGGGTAAAATTACAATTGTTACATCACTATGATCCATCTTTTTTGTTTGCAACATTGAAATCCTTGTAAATATTATTTGAATGATTGAGAAAAGAGATTTAATTTTTCATAATAAGGTTTTAATTGTTGTTTGTTTTATCCTGAAAGTATTGCCAAGTCACAGTCGTATTGCTATCATGCAATATTCATGTTATTATAATATTCCAAGCTAATGCAATCCAGAGTTCCAAAATCAGCTGTTCCTGGCACCTAATTTTTCTGAGTCTTCTGTCCATAGAGTCGACTCCATCTCCGCGTTTTCATCCTCCACTTACTACAGAAACTGTGCAGAAGAGTGTCAACCAGAAGTAATATGAATCATGCAAAATTCATAAACCTGTGAATCACATAGAGATGCACTATTTGCTTGCTCATGAAATAAGTTTCAAGGCTAGACCATCACGCAATGTCCCTCGTGTTTTTTGGGGATCTAGGAAGACCACCTTCATGATATCCAGTGGAAAAATGTATTCAATCAAAGTACTAATATGAAACAAACAAGATGACACAACCTTGTTTGATAATATTTAGACTGATATTGGTTAAATGCATTGATATTACATTGTAAATGTGACTGCTGAATGTACTTCAAAGAAGTCACTTTGTATTTCAATTTAGCAACAGTAAATCATAGCATTCGTGTTAATCCTGTAATACACTACTTCATACCTGTCTCATTGAAAGATGTTATACTTAAGAAAATTATCAAACCAAACTATTTATAATTGTTATCAACAAAACACTGGAAACGAGTTTTCACATTATAAATTAAATAAAATAATATTTTAAATGTTTTGAACTGTTGCTTAATGTTATGTGAAATGACATGTACAAAGCTAATATAATGTGTCCTCTAATTTCAATAGCTGATAAATAGGGGTTCTTTACAAATACTTAGAGCAGGAGAATGTACTGAATCAGAGACCTTGAGGGGCCCCTTAAGTTAAGGCATCTCAAAAAGTTAGAGCAATTAGACAGCTAAAGATGAAGGTAGAGCAAAAGCCAAGGTATGCTGGGATCGCGGGGACACCAAAGGGTTTTATTCTGTTAAGTGTAAGGTGTTAGGGGCTGTAGAATTATCATTTAGGTGCAAGCATTCAGCTATAAGTGATACAAAGCAATCATTATGCAAAATGGCAATTAATTTTTCCATTATCCATAATTTACATGTGCCATGCCACAATTCTTGCTGTAAAATTTATTGCGAAACAAAGAAATGCAAGAGCAGCTGTAATGGCTAATAGTCATTCAGTCTAAAGTCACATTTCCATCACCACAAAGATATTTGTCTCAATATATATCACATTCTTTTGAGTTTTTTTTTTTTTAATCAGCGATTTAGAAAATTTGCATTATTGATTTAATTGATTTAGGATGTCAAATTTTATTTTTGAATATACAGACTAATACCTCAGTCAGACTATTTTCTGCTTCTCCTTCTGATCCCGGTCAGCTTCTTTTGATAAACAGCAAACCACAGACAACATTGTTGGACTATGTCGTTCACCAACTGCTGTAAAGTTGATGCAATGCATCTATCTGTATTATATATATAATCTGTATTTATTGGAAAGTAAGTTATGTTTTATTTATTTTCATAGTATCTTCAAAGAGCAAAACGTTTTATTTATTGAACTATTGATGCCAAAGTGAACTTCACATGTATTATGCTCAGTTACATTCAGAACTCACTATTGAATAAACTCAAATAACTTTGTCACAATTGCAATTTCCTTCCCTGCCACAGTTCATATACACACTACAAAATTTTATATCCTTATTTTTTGATTGTTAATATTATTGTGAAATTGACAACTGAGAAACACGGATTGTGGGAAAAGTCATAACTTTCCTTTTTTTTTCTTAAAAGACAAACGTAAATATGTACTTTAGCTGTAGATAGTACATTTACTCAGGCTGTGAATTTTCCATAATTGAAAAGTAATTAGACAAACTATTTATGCTGCATAACTGATTCTATAAAGATTAGCGTGAGGGGCTTTGAGAATGTTCTGCAATGCAATGAGGCTCTGTTCCATCTGTCAAGCACAATCACATTAATTATGTTAATTATAATTAATTATAAGTAAATTAAAGGATTTTGCTCAGAATCTAATCTTGCTGATTGCTTTTCATCTCTATTAATAAACAAAGAATTGTGAGAAAAGTCAGACCTACCTTGTACTTTGTTCTGCCACTAAAAAGAATTCCTGCAGCATGAAGTATTTTTCTTATGACTCACTGGTGTGTATTTGATTGCCATTAAAGTGCATGCATTCTTTAAAAAACATTCTGAAATATATTTCCCTGATTCTGCTTTATATATATCTCAGCAAGAAAGCCAATAGCCAAAAATCTATTCAAGTGAGGCAGAGTATTGTTACAAATATAGCATTCATAAAACTGAGTGTTGTGATGTGTTTTTGCAACAACAACATGGATAACAAAGACATGCTTATCCGGCTGGGGAGACAATTGATATACAAAATTCAGGTAACACAGCCGAAGAGTTTTGGTCTGTTTTACTGAAATGTTAAACAATGCGTAATTAAATCTTCACGTTTACAGGGCTGACATGTAATGAAAGGCTTACATGGAAGGATGCTATTTGGTTATACACACCGACCAGTAAAAAGTTTTACTTTTCACATAACATGAAGCAGATGTTTAATTTTGAAATATTTTGCATTTATGTTCATTTGTCTTTTTGACAACTTTTTCCCTTTTAATAAAGAAAAAATGAGCATTTTTCTGACTTTGGCACTTAAAAGCAGCTAAAAATACGTACACACTCATTTCTCCACTGGACCTTCGCAGAAATAGCTTGTTTAAAATGTAACGAAATAACAATAAACTTTACAGAAATGTAGGACGACGTGGTGGAACAGCACTGCCACCTCAGCCCTGGGTTCGAGTCACAGCCCTGGCTTGCTTCAGGTACAAATAGGTAAATATGCATTTCTAAATTGCCCTTGTATGTGTGTGTGTGTGAGAGAGAGAGAGACAGAGAGAGAGAGTGCACACAAATGCTGTTGTGGCCGATCATTTTCAGGAGAAATGGGATGCAATCTTGGAGAGAACTTGCAGATTGGATTCTGTCACAAGTCTATATTTGTTTCACTGTATATTTTCCAGGGAAACACTGGTCTAGCTGCGTATGATGTCTGGGGGGGGGGGGCAGGGGAGGAGTCCCACATTCAGGTTCCCCCTAACATCTATGCAGAAGTGCAATCGCTTGGAGAATCCTGGCATGCTGCAGCCAGTGAGATACACCAGTCTGAAGTAGATATAAGGGTCTATGGCTTTGTGTTTCCTATGACAAGATGAATGCTGGTACTTATAAATATGAAAAAGCCTTGACTAGCCTGTTGAAAGTGACTGAGGCGTCTGTAATCCTACCTGCCACTGCCCAAAGATCAAATGAAAGATCAATCTGGTCTGTCTGCTGTGTTTAGGACAACGCTGCATGCGCCAGAAGGTGACCGAGTGCGTCCCTCCCTGGTGAATATATCGACACACTGCATGCGCCAGAAGGTGACCGAGTGCGTCCCTCCCTGGTGAATATATCGACACACTGCATGTGCCAGAAAGTGACCGAGTGCGTCCCTC